AAAAAATTATTTTTAAACTAAACTAAAATAAACTACATAGTTAATAGACTATTTATCAAAGAAGTTAATACTGTTTCGTACCGGTCACTGGATTTTTCGTTGCACCGAAACGGTATGAAGCTTAATTTCGTTTCGGTCAAATTTCGCTCATTTCGGTCAAATCTCGGTATTCCGCCTGGTATTCCGGGGTACCGGCAGTATTGACAACCACTTCAAGTGACAACCACTTCAGATTTTTTTGAAGAAAAGAGATCTTCCCTTTCTAGTGGCTGCCGAACCCCTCTCCTTACCGGTGATGAAGGTGGAGGCAGTGATGATGATGAGACACAAAAAGATGTCAAGGTCAGAGTCCCAAGGGGCTTCCGGCTAGATCTATATCGTCTTCTTGGTGATTGGTGAGATGAGCGTGACGATTAGCTAGCAAGAGGATGGTGAAGGTCGGAGGTGAAGGAACAGGGGTGATGGTGGCCGTCGCAGATCTGCAGAAGGGAGATGTTGAAGGTTGGAGGTGAAGGAACTGTCACGCCCCAGAACCCAAATCCGGGGGCATGACAGACGCCGTGCACTCGTGAGAAGATCCCACAAATGCACAAGGCTCGAAACTTACTGAGTTCATACTTAGCAATTCAGGTAATTAAGATCTAAGCCTTTTTAATTACCAAATATTTACCAGTCAGATGTACAAGATTTATCATTTCATATATACAGTCATGACTAGCACTAAATTCTGTACACAAAATTTTCTATGTCAAGCATGGGTGACTAACGGCTTAGCTACAAAAAACCTAAGTCCAAAAGTGTCTAGCCGTCTAGCTCGTCACTCCCCCGGGCTTCCCACGCATCGGGTCTCACTACCTGAAATGGTGGGCAAGGAAACCGTGAGATAGAAATATCTCAGTAAGTAAACATGGGGGCCTGACATCAAAGTTTAAAGCATGCCAAATAATCGGTTTAAAACATGAACTGAGCATTTCAAGAACAAAGCGTTTCAAGAACAGAGCGTTTCAAGAACAGAGCATTTCAAGAACAAATCATTAATGCAAAATAAAATCACGTAGTGGTCTCCTCTATTAGTCATGGCCAGTGTTATAAACCTCCCACTGGCAGGCTACAGAAGTTACTAGTGTATAATCCCCACTAGTAGGGCCAC